AAGTACTATTCTCTCTCTCTCTCTTTCTCTCTCCTGTAATTTTTACTGGATTTTTTCGCGTTTCACGTAGAGCGATACATTATAATTATTATTATTTATTTTTATTTTTTTTGGCTGTGCCGATTTTAAAACGATTTCGTTACCGTTTTTTATTTTTTTTATTTTTATTTTTGTTTTTACAAGACTATTATTATTATTATTATCATTATTATTATTGTTATTTTCAAATGTTTGTTTTTTTTTTATTTCAATTGTATGTTCCTATATTTATTAAATAAATTTATTTATTTATTATTACGGATGTCTAATCGTTTTATATTTTTTTATAAGGGAACGGAAGAGGCGGTAAGGTGATGGCGCGGGAGGGTGAAGGGGAAGGGGAAAAAATTATTAAAATAAAAATTCGATTGCAAATAATTATTATTATTATTATTTAAAAAAAAAAAAAAATTTATTTTAACTTACACAAAAAAAAAAATCAATGAAAAAAAAATTAAAAAAATTTATAATAATAATCATTATCATTATCATTCTCATCTTCGTTACAAAAATCAATATCATTATTATCATCATCATTATTCATTTTTTTTTTTACATATATATATATTTTAAAAAACATAAGTGAATCTGCAATGTTTTTTTTTTTTTTTTTTTAATATTAAATTGAAAGTTAAATTGAAATTTAAATTGTAATTTAAAAAAGAAAAAGAAAAAGTAATAAATGTATTATTTACAATAATAATAATAATAATAATAATAATTTTATAGAAAAAAATTCAAAATAAAAAAAAAAAAACTCGAAAATCCCACGTGTATACGATGTTGTAAAACACTCATACACGTGTTTTTTTAATAAATTTTCACGTGAACGGAAAAACGGGTGGAAAAAAAATACTAATAATTTTTCGTGGAAATTCAAATTTTCAATGGCGGGAAATTTTTTTTTTTTTTCTTTTTGAATTTTTTTTTATATTTACATAAACGCACGCGCACGTGCACACGCACACAAGACAAACACGCGATAAAAAAAAAAAAAATTTTTTTTGCATTGCAGACTCTCATCATTCTTATTCTCCTATTATTATTATCATAATTTTTTTTTTTTTTAAATTGTTGTTGATGATAATAATAATAATAGTAATGATAATAATAAAAATATTTACACGATAGAACTAATTACATTATTTTGAATTGATTTTTTTTTAAATAAAACATCTTTCTTTTTATAAACAATAGCTGATATAGTTATTAAACAAATGGCAACACCTAAAACAGTAAAAACAAACTGTTGGCTACCTAAAGTCGTTATCCTGGCGTCTTCGTGGTGGTAATCTTTGCCATCAGTCAAGGTTGACACGTCCGATGGAAAATCGATATTACGTTTTCTTCGTCCGTATGTATTCGGTCTTTGACCAGTGTACTTTCTACGACCGGACGATTTCGGTGTGTCATAAAGCCCTAAAAGTAAATAAGAGTTACATATGTTAACGTCTTTATTAATTTTTGTTTAAAATAATAAAATAAAATTACTTACAGGAGTGAAAACTGTGATATCTAGAATCACCGGAGTGCGTTTCGGATACATCTTTATCATAATTTATATTATTACCATTATTTTTAGAAACATCTCCTGAACAGTTCGGATCGGTTGAACCTGGTAAACAATTTGGTTTCACTCCAACAGAGGACACAACAGATGACTCTCCAATGCATCCTGATTTTGAATTACACCCCCCACCTGAATTAGAGTTCTTTGATGGTAAAGGTGGTAAATATTCCGGACCCTGAAAAACTGGAGGATTAGGACAATCAGGGTCTACAGAACCGGGAAAACATTTATTTGGACATCTTGGATCTGTTGAACCTGGAAAACATTGCGGTGCAGGTGGTTGAGTAGGTCTCGGTTGTTTCGGACATCTTGGATCTGTTGATCCTGGGAAACACTGTGGTGCAGGTGGTTGAGTTGGTCTCGGTTGTGAAGGGCATCTTGGATCAGTGGAACCTGGGAAACATTGCGGTGCAGGCGGTTGAGTAGGTCTCGGTTGTTTCGGACATCTAGGATCAGTTGATCCTGGGAAACATTGCGGTGCAGGTGGTTGAGTTGGTCTTGGTTGTGAAGGACATCTAGGATCTGTTGATCCTGGGAAACACTGTGGTGCAGGTGGTTGAGTTGGTCTCGGTTGTTTCGGACATCTAGGATCTGTTGATCCTGGGAAACATTGCGGTGCAGGTGGTTGAGTTGGTCTTGGTTGTGAAGGACATCTAGGATCTGTTGATCCTGGGAAACATTGCGGTGCAGGCGGTTGAGTAGGTCTCGGTTGTTTCGGACATCTTGGATCAGTTGATCCTGGGAAACATTGCGGTGCTGGAGGTCGAGTAGGAGTGACAGGTTTAACAGTAACTATTGGAAATGGACGAGTAGTTGTTTGTGGACAACGTGGATCAGTTGATCCTGGATAACATTGTGGTTTTGTAGTTGCTGGAGGTAAATATTCTGGTCCTTTCGTACTGCCTATTTTAGGGCATCTTGGATCTGTAGATCCTGGGAAACACTGTGGTGCAGGTGGTTGAGTAGGTCTCGGTTGTTTCGGACATCTTGGATCAGTGGAACCTGGGAAACATTGCGGTGCAGGCGGTTGAGTAGGTCTCGGTTGTTTCGGACATCTAGCATCTGTTGATCCTGGGAAACATTGCGGTGCAGGCGGTTGAGTAGGTCTTGGTTGTTTCGGACATCTAGGATCAGTTGATCCTGGGAAACATTGCGGTGCTGGAGGTCGAGTAGGAGTGACAGGTTTAACAGTAACTATTGGAAATGGACGAGTAGTTGTTTGTGGACAACGTGGATCAGTTGATCCTGGATAACATTGTGGTTTTGTAGTTGCTGGAGGTAAATATTCTGGTCCTTTCGTACTGCCTATTTTAGGGCATCTTGGATCAGTGGAACCTGGGAAACACTGTGGTGCAGGTGGTTGAGTTGGTCTCGGTTGTAAAGGGCATCTTGGATCAGTGGAACCTGGGAAACATTGCGGTGCAGGCGGTTGAGTAGGTCTCGGTTGTTTCGGACATCTAGGATCTGTTGATCCTGGGAAACATTGCGGTGCAGGCGGTTGAGTAGGTCTCGGTTGTTTCGGACATCTAGGATCAGTTGATCCTGGGAAACATTGCGGTGCAGGTGGTTGAGTTGGTCTTGGTTGTGAAGGACATCTAGGATCTGTTGATCCTGGGAAACACTGTGGTGCAGGTGGTTGAGTTGGTCTCGGTTGTTTCGGACATCTAGGATCTGTTGATCCTGGGAAACATTGCGGTGCAGGTGGTTGAGTTGGTCTCGGTTGTGAAGGGCATCTTGGATCAGTTGATCCTGGGAAACACTGTGGTGCAGGTGGTTGAGTTGGTCTAGGTTGTGAAGGACATCGTGGATCAGTAGATCCTTGAAAACATTGCGGTGCTGGAGGTCGAGTAGGAGTTACAGGTTTAACAGTAACTATTGGAAATGGACGAGTCGTTGTTTGTGGACAACGTGGATCAGTTGATCCTGGATAACATTGTGGTTTTGTAGTTGCCGGAGGTAAATATTCTGGTCCTTTCGTACTGCCTATTTTAGGACATCTTGGATCTGTTGATCCTGGGAAACACTGTGGTGCAGGTGGTTGAGTAGGTCTCGGTTGTTTCGGACATCTTGGATCAGTGGAACCTGGGAAACATTGCGGTGCAGGCGGTTGAGTAGGTCTCGGTTGTTTCGGACATCTAGCATCTGTTGATCCTGGGAAACATTGCGGTGCAGGCGGTTGAGTAGGTCTTGGTTGTTTCGGACATCTAGGATCAGTTGATCCTGGGAAACATTGCGGTGCTGGAGGTCGAGTAGGAGTGACAGGTTTAACAGTAACTATTGGAAATGGACGAGTAGTTGTTTGTGGACAACGTGGATCAGTTGATCCTGGATAACATTGTGGTTTAGTAGTTGCTGGAGGTAAATATTCTGGTCCTTTCGTACTGCCGATTTTTGGACATCTTGGATCTGTAGATCCTGTGAAACATTGCGGTGCAGGTGGTTGAGTTGGTCTCGGTTGTTTCGGACATCGTGGATCAGTGGAACCAGGGAAACACTGCGGTGCAGGTGGTTGAGTTGGTCTCGGTTGTGAAGGGCATCTTGGATCTGTTGATCCTGGGAAACACTGTGGTGCAGGTGGTTGAGTTGGTCTCGGTTGTTTGGGACATCTTGGATCTGTTGATCCTGGGTAACACTGTGGTGCAGGTGGTTGAGTTGGTCTCGGTTGTGAAGGGCATCTTGGATCAGTGGAACCAGGGAAACATTGCGGTGCTGGAGGTCGAGTAGGAGTTACAGGTTTAACAGTAACTATTGGAAATGGACGAGTCGTTGTTTGTGGACAACGTGGATCAGTTGATCCTGGATAACATTGTGGTTTTGTAGTTGCCGGAGGTAAATATTCTGGTCCTTTCGTACTACCGATTTTTGGACATCTTGGATCTGTAGATCCTGGGAAACATTGCGGTGCTGGTGGTTGAGTTGGTCTCGGTTGTTTCGGACATCTTGGATCAGTTGATCCTGGATAACATTGCGGTGCAGGTGGTTGAGTTGGTCTTGGTTGTTTCGGACATCGTGGATCAGTTGATCCTGGGAAACATTGCGGTGCAGGTGGTTGAGTTGGTCTCGGTTGTGAAGGGCATCTTGGATCAGTGGAACCTGGGAAACACTGCGGTGCAGGTGGTTGAGTTGGTCTCGGTTGTTTCGGACATCTTGGATCTGTTGATCCTGGGAAACATTGCGGTGCAGGTGGTTGAGTTGGTCTTGGTTGTGAAGGGCATCTTGGATCAGTTGATCCTGGGAAACATTGCGGTGCAGGTGGTTGAGTTGGTCTCGGTTGTTAAGGACATCTAGGATCTGTTGAACCTGGAAAACATTGCGGTGCCGGAGGTCGAGTAGGAGTGACAGGTTTAACAGTAACTATTGGAAATGGACGAGTAGTTGTTTGTGGACAACGTGGATCAGTTGATCCTGGATAACATTGTGGTTTTGTAGTTGCTGGAGGTAAATATTCTGGTCCTTTCGTACTGCCTATTTTAGGGCATCTTGGATCAGTGGAACCTGGGAAACACTGTGGTGCAGGTGGTTGAGTTGGTCTCGGTTGTTTCGGACATCTTGGATCTGTTGAACCTGGGAAACATTGCGGTGCAGGCGGTTGAGTTGGTTTTGGTTGTGAAGGGCATCTGGGATCAGTGGAACCTGGGAAACATTGCGGTGCAGGCGGTTGAGTAGGTCTCGGTTGTTTCGGACATCTAGGATCTGTTGATCCTGGGAAACACTGCGGTGCAGGTGGTTGAGTTGGTCTCGGTTGTGAAGGGCATCTTGGATCAGTTGATCCTGGGAAACATTGCGGTGCTGGAGGTCGAGTAGGAGTTACGGGTTTAACAGTAACTATTGGAAATGGACGAGTCGTTGTTTGTGGACAACGTGGATCAGTTGATCCCGGATAACATTGTGGTTTTGTAGTTGCCGGAGGTAAATATTCTGGTCCTTTCGTACTACCGATTTTTGGACATCTTGGATCTGCAGATCCTGGGAAACATTGCGGTGCAGGTGGTTGAGTTGGTCTTGGTTGTTTCGGACATCTTGGATCAGTGGAACCTGGGAAACATTGCGGTGCTGGTGGTTGAGTTGGTCTTGGTTGTTTTGGACATCGTGGATCAGTTGATCCTGGATAACATTGCGGTGCAGGTGGTTGAGTTGGTTTTGGTTGTGAAGGACATCGTGGATCAGTTGATCCTGGAAAACATTGCGGTGCTGGAGGTCGAGTAGGAGTTACAGGTTTAACAGTAACTATTGGAAATGGACGAGTCGTTGTTTGTGGACAACGTGGATCAGTTGATCCTGGATAACATTGTGGTTTTGTAGTTGCCGGAGGTAAATATTCTGGTCCTTTCGTACTGCCTATTTTAGGACATCTTGGATCTGTTGATCCTGGGAAACATTGCGGTGCTGGTGGTTGAGTTGGTCTCGGTTGTTTCGGACATCGTGGATCAGTGGAACCAGGGAAACACTGCGGTGCAGGTGGTTGAGTTGGTCTCGGTTGTTTCGGACATCGTGGATCAGTGGAACCAGGGAAACACTGCGGTGCAGGTGGTTGAGTTGGTCTCGGTTGTGAAGGGCATCTTGGATCAGTTGATCCTGGGAAACATTGCGGTGCAGGTGGTTGAGTTGGTCTTGGTTGTTTCGGACATCGTGGATCAGTTGATCCTGGGAAACATTGCGGTGCAGGTGGTTGAGTTGGTTTTGGTTGTGAAGGACATCTTGGATCTGTTGATCCTGGAAAACATTGCGGTGCTGGAGGTCGAGTAGGAGTTACAGGTTTAACAGTAACTATTGGAAATGGACGAGTCGTTGTTTGTGGACAACGTGGATCAGTTGATCCTGGATAACATTGTGGTTTTGTAGTTGCCGGAGGTAAATATTCTGGTCCTTTCGTACTGCCTATTTTAGGACATCTTGGATCTGTGGATCCTGGGAAACATTGCGGTGCTGGTGGTTGAGTTGGTCTTGGTTGTTTCGGACATCTTGGATCTGTTGATCCTGGGAAACACTGTGGTGCAGGTGGTTGAGTTGGTCTCGGTTGTGAAGGGCATCTTGGATCAGTTGATCCTGGGAAACATTGCGGTGCAGGTGGTTGAGTTGGTCTCGGTTGTTTCGGACATCTTGGATCTGTTGATCCTGGGAAACACTGTGGTGCAGGCGGTTGAGTTGGTTTTGGTTGTGAAGGGCATCTTGGATCAGTGGAACCTGGGAAACATTGCGGTGCAGGCGGTTGAGTAGGTCTCGGTTGTTTCGGACATCTTGGATCTGTTGATCCTGGGAAACACTGTGGTGCAGGCGGTTGAGTTGGTCTCGGTTGTGAAGGGCATCTTGGATCTGTGGATCCTGGGAAACACTGTGGTGCAGGTGGTTGAGTTGGTCTCGGTTGTGAAGGGCATCTTGGATCAGTGGAACCTGGGAAACACTGCGGTGCAGGTGGTTGAGTTGGTCTCGGTTGTGAAGGGCATCTTGGATCAGTTGATCCTGGGAAACATTGCGGTGCAGGTGGTTGAGTTGGTCTTGGTTGTTTCGGACATCTTGGATCAGTGGAACCAGGGAAACATTGCGGTGCTGGAGGTCGAGTAGGAGTTACAGGTTTAACAGTAACTATTGGAAATGGACGAGTCGTTGTTTGTGGACAACGTGGATCAGTTGATCCTGGATAACATTGTGGTTTTGTAGTTGCCGGAGGTAAATATTCTGGTCCTTTCGTACTACCGATTTTTGGACATCTTGGATCTGTAGATCCTGGGAAACATTGCGGTGCTGGTGGTTGAGTTGGTCTTGGTTGTTTCGGACATCGTGGATCAGTTGATCCTGGGAAACATTGCGGTGCAGGTGGTTGAGTTGGTCTTGGTTGTTTCGGACATCTTGGATCAGTGGAACCTGGGAAACATTGCGGTGCAGGTGGTTGAGTTGGTCTCGGTTGTTTGGGACATCTTGGATCTGTTGATCCTGAATAACATTGCGGTGCAGGTGGTTGAGTTGGTTTTGGTTGTGAAGGGCATCTTGGATCAGTTGATCCTGGGAAACATTGCGGTGCAGGCGGTTGAGTAGGTCTCGGTTGTTTCGGACATCTAGGATCAGTTGATCCTGGGAAACATTGCGGTGCTGGAGGTCGAGTAGGAGTGACAGGTTTAACAGTAACTATTGGAAATGGACGAGTAGTTGTTTGTGGACAACGTGGATCAGTTGATCCTGGATAACATTGTGGTTTTGTAGTTGCTGGAGGTAAATATTCTGGTCCTTTCGTACTGCCTATTTTAGGGCATCTTGGATCAGTTGATCCTGGGAAACACTGTGGTGCAGGTGGTTGAGTTGGTCTCGGTTGTAAAGGGCATCTTGGATCAGTGGAACCTGGGAAACATTGCGGTGCAGGCGGTTGAGTAGGTCTCGGTTGTTTCGGACATCTAGGATCTGTTGATCCTGGGAAACATTGCGGTGCAGGCGGTTGAGTTGGTTTTGGTTGTGAAGGGCATCTGGGATCAGTGGAACCTGGGAAACATTGCGGTGCAGGCGGTTGAGTAGGTCTCGGTTGTTTCGGACATCTAGGATCTGTTGATCCTGGGAAACATTGCGGTGCAGGTGGTTGAGTTGGTTTTGGTTGTGAAGGGCATCTTGGATCAGTGGAACCTGGGAAACATTGCGGTGCAGGCGGTTGAGTTGGTCTCGGTTGTTTCGGACATCTAGGATCTGTTGAACCTGGAAAACATTGCGGTGCTGGAGGTCGAGTAGGAGTGACAGGTTTAACAGTAACTATTGGAAATGGACGAGTAGTTGTTTGTGGACAACGTGGATCAGTTGATCCTGGATAACATTGTGGTTTTGTAGTTGCTGGAGGTAAATATTCTGGTCCTTTCGTACTACCGATTTTTGGACATCTTGGATCTGTAGATCCTGTGAAACATTGCGGTGCAGGTGGTTGAGTTGGTCTCGGTTGTTTCGGACATCGTGGATCAGTGGAACCAGGGAAACACTGCGGTGCAGGTGGTTGAGTTGGTCTCGGTTGTGAAGGGCATCTTGGATCTGTTGATCCTGGGAAACACTGTGGTGCAGGTGGTTGAGTTGGTCTCGGTTGTTTGGGACATCTTGGATCTGTTGATCCTGGGAAACATTGCGGTGCAGGTGGTTGAGTTGGTCTCGGTTGTGAAGGGCATCTTGGATCAGTGGAACCTGGGAAACATTGCGGTGCAGGTGGTTGAGTTGGTCTTGGTTGTTTCGGACATCGTGTATCAGTTGATCCTGGGAAACATTGCGGTGCAGGTGGTTGAGTTGGTCTCGGTTGTGAAGGGCATCTTGGATCAGTTGATCCTGGGAAACATTGCGGTGCAGGTGGTTGAGTTGGTCTTGGTTGTTTCGGACATCTTGGATCAGTGGAACCAGGGAAACACTGCGGTGCAGGTGGTTGAGTTGGTCTCGGTTGTGAAGGGCATCTTGGATCTGTTGATCCTGGGAAACATTGCGGTGCAGGTGGTTGAGTTGGTCTCGGTTGTGAAGGACATCTTGGATCTGTTGATCCTTGAAAACATTGCGGTGGTGGAGGTCGAGTAGGAGTTACAGGTTTAACAGTAACTATTGGAAATGGACGAGTCGTTGTTTGTGGACAACGTGGATCAGTTGATCCTGGATAACATTGTGGTTTTGTAGTTGCCGGAGGTAAATATTCTGGTCCTTTCGTACTACCGATTTTTGGACATCTTGGATCTGTAGATCCTGGGAAACATTGCGGTGCAGGTGGTTGAGTTGGTCTTGGTTGTTTCGGACATCGTGGATCAGTTGATCCTGGGAAACATTGCGGTGCAGGTGGTTGAGTTGGTCTCGGTTGTGAAGGGCATCTTGGATCAGTGGAACCTGGGAAACACTGCGGTGCAGGTGGTTGAGTTGGTCTCGGTTGTTTGGGACATCTTGGATCTGTTGATCCTGAATAACATTGCGGTGCAGGTGGCTGAGTTGGTCTCGGTTGTGAAGGGCATCTTGGATCAGTTGATCCTGGGAAACATTGCGGTGCAGGTGGTTGAGTTGGTTTTGGTTGTGAAGGACATCGTGGATCAGTTGATCCTGGAAAACATTGCGGTGCTGGAGGTCGAGTAGGAGTTACAGGTTTAACAGTAACTATTGGAAATGGACGAGTCGTTGTTTGTGGACAACGTGGATCAGTTGATCCTGCATAACATTGTGGTTTTGTAGTTGCCGGAGGTAAATATTCTGGTCCTTTCGTACTACCGATTTTGGACATCTTGGATCAGTTGATCCTGGGAAACATTGTGGTGCAGGTGGTTGAGTTGGTCTCGGTTGTTTGGGACATCTTGGATCTGTTGATCCTGGGTAACACTGTGGTGCAGGTGGTTGAGTTGGTCTCGGTTGTGAAGGGCATCTTGGATCAGTGGAACCTGGGAAACATTGCGGTGCAGGCGGTTGAGTTGGTCTCGGTTGTGAAGGACATCTAGGATCTGTTGAACCTGGAAAACATTGCGGTGCAGGCGGTTGAGTAGGTCTCGGTTGTTTCGGACATCTTGGATCAGTGGAACCTGGGAAACATTGGGGTGCAGGCGGTTGAGTAGGTCTCGGTTGTTTCGGACATCTTGGATCAGTGGAACCTGGGAAACATTGGGGTGCTGGTGGTTGAGTTGGTCGTGGTTGTTTCTGACATTTTGGATCTGTTGATCCTGGGAAGCACGTCTTATCTGTTATTTGTGTGCTGCATTCATTTTGGCATTGTCCGGTACATATCTATGAATACATACTACAAATTAATGTTTACAAAATTTTTTTTTTTTGTACTTTTTTTTTGGTAACTTACTTCTACATTACATGTTAAATATATTTGATCTTTGTCAGGAAACCTAAAAGCTTTAATTTCATTGTATGTGATTGATGTTGCTCCTGAGTTTCCTGTTTCTCTCGATTCTTTCCAGCTTCCAATTAATTTAGGCTTACTGAAAATTTTTTGTTATTTTTAAGTTTCATATATTTGTTATTATTATTATTTTTTTCAGAGTATTTAACTTACGTCGGGCATCCATTTCCGTCTGTTAGTTGAAGTTTTGTGGTTCTTGGTGAATCATAGGCTTCATCATCATAAGCCCAACAGTCTCTCACTTTTACATTGTATTGATTTTTGTCGTCTTTAATGTATATTAATATTGTTAAAGGTTCTCCAATTTTAATTATTTCTTTGATAGGAGAAGTCTAAAGTGTGGTAAAATTACATTCTTAAATTTTTTAAAAAATTAATCTGCTTAATATTTTTAAGTATTGATTTATTGTGGGTATAAAATTTAATATTTACGTTCGGATAAACTCCTCTTTGAATATCCATCCAACAATCAATATTTGCCCTACCCGTTTTTACAGGTACAGACACTACTTCCAGCATATCAACAGTAAACGGTTTGAAGGCAATTGATTTTTCATTAAATGTTCCTGAAGGACATGATATTTTTCTTGCTACGTCCCAAACTTCCTGTCAAAATTATAAATGTATATAAACTTGGTTAAATTTCCATAATAAATTATACTAACTTATGTAGCGTACCGTACCTGAATGACATCATCACTTTGTATAATGATTACATTATCAGTAAATCCACAATTACCTCTGCTGCATTTAGACGGCCCGGAACCACATCCTTTTAGAGGAATCACAAAATCGAATCTATTTCGACCACTTCCTGAAGTGACATACCTTAAATAATTTAATTATTTTTTCCTTATCAATTTTCATATAAATAACATTCATTAAAATTATAAAAAATAATGTTTGTAATTAATATTATTATTATAAAATAGTTTTTATTTTTTGTTTTAAGACCTCTTGATCAAAACATTTTTTTAAATGCATTTATTTTAAACTCTTGTTTGTATTTTGTTTGTTTGTTTTTTTGGTTATTTTAATAAGAATTTAATAAGTTTGCTAATAATATTGACACTTATGTTTTTATTTTTAGGTTTAACATTCATCGACAATCATTAAGATTTACAGGGTAAATGTTTGTTGGATGGAGTAGAAAACAAAAACTTTGGATTAAGATTGAAAAAGGTTTGTGTTCTTTTGTTACAATAAACAATTCATAACATACTAATCAGTAATTAACAGTTGATTGAATGAATGTTTTTATTCTAATGGGTAAAAAAATAAATAATGAATGATTGAATGATAAACTTACGTGCATTTCGGATCGTTAAAATAACCTTTACTATAAACAACTCCATTAAAAGGTTCGTTAAATTCTAATTCAACTTTAATACCAGTATCACCACATTCAGCCATAATATCTTTAATATGAACGTGTGCCATTTCTTCAGAATGTATTTGCCTTGAATTTCTTCTTGCGATATTTGTAAAACCATTTTCATCTTGTTTAAATTCTTTTTCAGTATTAAAAGCTCTCGGTAAAAATGGTTGCGATATAGAAGTGACTGTGACTTTTTTAGAAAATTTTTTACGCACGGGTTTTTCTAATTCTTGCTCTTCGTTCACATCGAAAAACTTAATCAAACCACGATTTGATTCTTGGCGGGAAAATAATTCATATTCTTCGTCTTCTCCACCACTTTGTGCGATCGTTATTTTTTGCGGCGTTGCTATGAAATCGTGTAACGTTTTATCGTCGGCAAATAATTTTTTCCTATTCTTTTTATTATTATTATTATTATTATTGTTAATTAAATCGAAATCGAATGATCCGTCATTTTTTTTCTTTTCGAAAAAATACGGTTTCAATGATTTTTTATCGACGGGTAAATTTTGAGATTCGGTCGAATCATCTGAATGATGATGATAATTTATATTTATTTTTCTACCGCTAAATTCTTGCAATGCGTTTATTTTCTCTATGTCATCTTGACTTGTTAACAATTGGCCGCAAACCAACTGAAAAATAATATATATATATATATTAACATTATTAATAACTATAATTATCTTCTGCTACTATTATTATTATTATAACACGATACGATTGTTCAAATTTGAAATTTTTTTGTTTTTATTTCTTTATAACTTATTATTATTATTATTAATATTGTTTATTTAATTTATTCTTATGAAATTATTAAGAGAAAAATTTCAATTTGAATTTTTTTTTTGAAATTTAAATTCATTGTTTTCTTTTTTTTTTTATATTTTAAACTTTACATAAAGAACATGATGAGAAATAAAAAATGGCCCAATGTGTTACTATTATTATTATTATTATTATTATTATTATTATTATTATTATTATTATTATTTTATTAATCACCACGTGTTTGTTACACATGCATACATAAATATTTTTTTTTTTTTTTTACAAAATTGTGAAATTTTTTTTTTTGTAAAATTAATTTAACAAAAAAAAATTTAATTTAATTTAATTAAAGAAATAATAATAATAATAATAATGATAATAATAAATATTTAATTTCATCGTGTTGTGAAATTATTATTATTATTATTTTTATTAAGTAATTTAATTAGGGTAATATTTTTTTTTTTTAAATAATTTAGTTTAAGAAAAAATTGGAAGGAAGGAAGGAGGGAGAGAAATTTTTCTCTTTTAAATTAGCTTAACCGCTCCCCCCGCTCCCCGCCCCCCGGGTAATATCCAATTGAAAAACATTTATCTAACACTCCAAAAAAAAAATTTGACCTTTCAACTTTTCCATCGGTGTTTAAATATTTCGCTTTTTTTTCTATTTTTATCCTCGCGTAATTTATTTTAATTAATTAAACTCTTTGCAAATTTAACATTTTTTTTTTTTTTATATAAATTTTTACGTAATTTAAAAAAAAAGTAATCATAATAATAATAATAATAATAATAATAATAATAATAATAATAATGATAATAATAATAAAAACGCGGAAGAACGTGTAATTATGATTACTTGTAACGTGTTTTACACACATCGAGTTGATAAGTTCACGCGTGTTAAAGTGTTAAATTACGTAATTTTTTTTTTTTTTGTTGTAAATGTTCAGAGTTCAAATACGAAACCCCCCCCCTTTTTGTCTCCCTTTTTTTTTTGATCGTTTGTTGTCCAAAAATATTTTCCAGCGATTAAATTTTTTTCCGAATTTTTAAACGATGGGAAAATTCACCTTCATTTTTTTTTTTGGAGTTTCACAATTTTTTTTTTTTTTTTACGCCGACAAATTATTACGTAATTATAAAAATTAAAAAAGAAAAAAAATGAGAAAGTTTTGTTGTTTGTTGTTTGTAGGATCGTTAGCGTTTGTTATGTATCACCTAAACAAACCTTAAAAAAAAACCCACGCGGTGCACCTGTCGATGTAATTTTGTTGACATTTAATACAACAACCGACATTTTTTTTTTTTCATGCACTTCCTTCTCCTGGACTTTTATTATTATTATTATTATTATTATTATTATTATTATTAACAAAATGATAACCTTGAATTTATGACGTATCATCATCGATTATCGATAATTTTATGGTCATTTTTTTTTTTTTTTCACGAACCGGAAACCGTCGCATTTTTTCCACAAATTCACAGAATAATAATATTTTCTTTGTAACGGTTTTCAAACGGAAGTTCCTCTCGTTCAATTATTTTATTAACTTCCGGAAAAATAATTTTTCATTTTCCCATTCGATTTAATTAATAAATTTTGTGATTATTATTGTCGTTAAAAATTTTTTCAAAATTATTTCCATAGAACTCGAAGAAAATTTTTTTTTTTTTTTTTTTTTTTTTAAATGGCGGCGATCGGTCGGCTTTTTTTTTAATATTATTGACCTTTTGACCTTAGCCTTGTTAACAACACACTTTTTCTTTTTCACATTTAATTTAATTTTTCATTTTTTTTTTTCCGACGTTTCCGCAATTTATTAACTCGAGTGTGGGTGTCGGTTAAAAAAGGATCGTCTTATTATTATTATTATTATTAAACTCATGTTTATCATAAATTCGATTCATAATAATAATAATAGTAATGCGTAACTGAAGAGTTGTAAAGAATACACGCACACGCACACGCACACACCTTTAAAAAAATACCCGAAAATTCATTTTCGAGAGTTGACAAATAAAATAAATTATTAAAAGGGCAAAAACGTGATTGGTTTTAATTTAACAAAATATTAATAATAATAATAATAATAATAATAATAAATAAAAATTAATTTTTTTGTTTTTTTTTTCTATTTCGTAATCATCCATTTAAAAAAAAAAAAAAAAAAAAAATTTAAGAAAAAAGCAAAAAATAAATTTTAATATGTGGTTTATAAATAATATCGTACAAAAAATTGCATGAATAGAATAATTAGCCCGAAAGGCTTGTCAAGGATTTTTAAGATCATCATCATCATCATCGTCATCATCATCATCCTGGTAAATCACATTAAGTGTATTTTATTATGTTTATACGTGTGTGTGTGCGTGCGTGTGCGTGTGCGTTTGTGGAGTACCTTGAACTTTATTGAAAATATTGTAACAACCTTTCATTATAATAATAATAATATTCAGGGCCGTGACTTATATTAATTTTCTTTTTTCTTTTTAAACGTTTCATTAAATGAATAATAATAATGACAATAATAATAATAATAATAATAATAATAATAATAATAATAATAATAATAATGGTATTATTAGACTGACTATTACTGATCGATCGGCGTTCGATTCGATTTTTATCGATTTTTATAACCGAATTCACTATAGTGAAATTTCTCCGTTTTTTTTTTTTGGTGGGGGGAGGGGTTCCCCTTTTGAAAATAGATTTAAGGCCTTTTTATGCCCCGAGGTTTATGGGTAACGGTTTTGACAAACGATCGGCGATGAGCGAGCTTAAAATCTGTTATAAATAGAATTCGTTCAATTAATAATAATGACGAGAATTATAATAATAATAACAAGAAAAGTCCCGAGAAAATCTGGAAAAGTTTAGAAAAAATGAAAAAGTTTAGAAAAAAAGTTTAGAAAGGCTGTGTAGAAGATTAGGGAAGTTTCTCTGGATAAGACTGGAGGAGTCTGGAAAAAAATTCTGGAGAATACTGGAGAAGTCTGGAGAAAACTGGAGAACTAGAATAGTCTGGATAAGCCTAGAGAAGTCTAAAAATATTCTGGAGAAAACTGGAGAAGTCTGGAGAAAATCTGGAGAAAACTGGAAAAGTCTGGATAAGACTGGAGAATATTCTGGAAAAATCTAGGAAAAAATTAATATCGAAACATTTATTCGTAAGGAATCGGGTAGAATTTTGGAAATAAAACTCCTACAAGTGCAAGCATGGAATCTCGCGTTGAATTAAAATAATAATAATAATAATAATGTAATAATAATAATAATAATATGTAGGACGGCCCACATTCTTTGGAAAATACTATATAAATAGCACCACCGAAATTTGAGTATTTGTCCCTAAGGAATCGGGTAGAAACCTGGGATAAATGCTTAAAAACCCGAACAAATAAGAGCCTTGTCGTGTTTAAGAGTAACCATAATAATAATGATAATGATAATGATAATAATCGACAAACGACATTTTTTCGATTGTTTTCTTTTCTTTTTAAAATTTAAATTTAAATTTTTCTCGTTTTAATTTTGAATTCGATTAAATAAATAATTTTTTTTATTATTGTTTACGTAATATCGATTTAATTTATTTCATAATTTTAAAAAAATTTTGTTTACGTAATACACAATATCACGTGACAACAATTAAAAAACAAATTTCTTTTTTTTTTTTATGGAAGGCGGTGAAAATGGCGGAACGAATTTTTTTATCATCACAGAAATCGTTTAGAAAATTTTTTATAAAAAAAAAACAAAAAAAAATTTTTTTTCAAGACGCTAATAAAATAAATAAATAAAATTTATTTATTTATTTATTTATTTACATAATAATAATAATAATTATATAAAACTTATTACCCAAGTATAAAATATATATATTTTGAAATGAATGTATTTAGCACACACACAAAAAAAACAACGCCTTAAGGTAAACACGAATTTATATTCTTATGCCACAAAAACTCATTAAAAAAAACAAAATCATCCTTATTTTAACCTATGTGTTGTTATTATCATTATCATCATCATTATTATTATTATTATTTTTTCTCTTAAAAATGTCCGCCGTCTTTTCTTCTTCTTCTTCTTATTTTGTGCAATAAAAAGGGGGCTTGTCTTTAAAATGATATATCAAAAAAAAAAAAAATTATAATAGTTTAAGTAACGAGTTTTACATTATTATTATTACCATTATTATTATTATTATTATTATTATTATCATTATCATTATTATTAACTTTCTTCCTTTTTTTTATATTAAAAAAGGATGCGTTT